TCCAGTTTAGGGGCTGGCTCAGCCCTCTAGATGGGGATCTGAGATAGTGAAACTTGGGATCCCACGCCCTGGTGCAAAGTGGGGAACCACCACCTTCCTTCTAGGGGCAGAGTTATCTATAATAATAATAGCGGCTCCTTAGAGACCATGCCTCCCACCTCACTGATGAAGAAACTGAGTCCCATAAAAAGGTAGTGCAGCTAAAGCTTCAGCTCAGGATTGACACCCAGAGCAGTGCTCCTTCTACTTCACCCACTTGGGGATACCTGGCGTGGACCAGGTGTCCCCTTCAGATGTGACAGGAGTGGGGGGCAGGCACTGATAGATAGGGAGGCGATGTTAAGTGCCCCTGTCAGACTTTATCTTAATGGTCCTTAGCTCCACTTGAGATTGGAAGAGAGCTCAGAAGAGGGCTGGAGAGGAGGTGCTGCTGGTGGCTTGGCGAGAATGGTGGCAGCCAGTTAGAATGGGCTCACCCTGACTGCCAGGACCAGCTGGGTGACTTTGGGCAAGTCACCGGCCTGCAGGGGTGTCTCTGTATGGTGAGGGGTTTAGTGACACTTGTGTGTGTGTGTGTGTGTGTGTGTGTGTGTGTGTGTGTCTCAGTTGGCACTCCACAAATGCTATTGGATCAACGTCAGAGAGTGGAAAGGAACAGGGACCTGAGAGGAGACAGGCGCCCTGTGATGGCTGCCGGTGGACGGTATCTGTGTGTTTCTACTTGGTAGCAGCTTCTTCCTCGGCATTCAGCGGGCACTCCGAGTGGTGCCAGCCATACAGACACGTGGCTCTTAGCCAAAATGCTGTCTGCCCAGAAGTGCCTTGGAAGAAAGGCCTGTCAATTTGTTACAAACAAAAAAAGCCTCTGAAAACCCTCTGAGTACACTCCAATTCTCACACACTTCTGGGCCACTGTGAGTTGCACGCAGCAACAAGTGGCACTGGTCGGCACCCTGGGAGGTGGTGGGTGTCTGGCCCTCCTTCCAGAGACAAGGTTGAGTCCTGTAAGGAAACCCGTTGCTCCAGAATCAATTTTGCAGCGCTGAGTTGAGCTGCCCCATAGGTACTTTATGGAAGTGGAATTCTGCCCGAGGAGTGGCTGGTGGATTTGAAGCACCGACCTTTGGGTTCGCAACTGAGCTCTTCCTTCACCACTTGGCCACCAGGGCTCTTTGACCAAGGTCCAGAGAGGTGGCTTCATTGTCCAGACCTGCAGTCAAGCCCTAGCCCTAGCCCTAGCCCTGTCCTCTCAGGACTTCCTGGTGGCTGCCACTGAACTCTGGGAATGCTCATGCCTGGAGGGAACTATCCAGAAGTCAGAATGGCACCCTGGCCGCAAAGAATGCTCACGTCACTGTCCGGAGCAAGGGGTGCCCTGGAAACTCATTACAACACTATTCATAGGGTTGTAGCTAATTCCTGTCCTCCACACTGCCGGTGGCCCCAGTGCCCTGTGGGACTGGATCAGCCCCTCCCAGGAAGGCACTCCCTCCTTCTGTATTTACCTTAGAACCGGCTGGTCAGCTCTGCCCCTGCGGGGGTGGGGCGGGTGCTACCTGGAGGGAGGAAGGAAGGAGGCTGATTCTTGTGTTGGGGTGGGGTCCCACTTTGGTTGGGGCCTGAGGCTGTGACTACCCCCTTTCCTTTGAGCTTCCCCAGACTCCCAACCACCCAGGCCATTTGGAGTGAGGCTCAGGTGCATGCAGATCTATACAGCAACCACCTTGCTAGGTGACCTTGAGCAGGTCACTTTCCCTTGCCACTCCTTCCTGTGCTCCTTGGAGAAGAGGGGCTTTTTTGGGTACCCCTCTGCTTTCCTGTTGGGTATACTAGGAGACAGGAGAGAAAATGCTTCCTGAAAGCTTTTGTCGGGTTCACTTCTTTTTGGGGGTGACAATGAAATGACCTACACACCCAAGGTCTGTACCCCTTCACCCCACACTCACCTCTCCGGGCCTTTGTTCTCGTGTTTGTATGGAGAGGGGTTGGGACAAGGGACCCCTGCACACAAGTCCTGCCTTCTTGGCTTGGCCGGGGGAAGGCTGAAGCTCATAGCTCCAGGCGGGAGCTGGGCGAGAGGGGAGAGCAGGGTTGACCCACAGGGTTCCAGCTCCTGATTGAGGCCACCTGGGCAGCTGTGCCCTGCCCCCTCATTCCTCTCTCCTGAGTCAGCTCTCCCGGCTGTGGGCGCGCCCCGCCCCCGCCCCTAGCTCTGGAATGGGGCAGGTTGGGGCCTCACCCCTAGGATGGTGCTGCCAAGACGGAGTGCGCCTGCGCGCTCTCGCACACACGTGGCCTTGAGGGACAGGGGCTCCCTCCCCCACTCCCTGTCCCCAGGCGCAGGAAAGCCCCGCAGTGGCGAGTACACACACCTGCCTTCATGCAGATGCCGCCGCCTGGCAGGGCCCTGCGTGGGTCTGTGCAGTGGCGCCCGTGGGTGAGGAGGCCTGAGTGTGCTGTGTGGACGTGGTTCTGGGAGCGCACACCTGTGAAGCGTGCGCCTGTACCTGCCTGGTGGACTGTACCCAAGTTCAGGAACTTGCGTGGGTGCTTCTTGTGTGCGGTGGGCATGGCTGGGAGCAGCACCTCTAACCAGATCCTGGAAGCCACCTCCCGGAGGTGGGGGAGCTGTGGCCTCCGCCCAGGCAGAAAGGCCTGGCACGGAGCCTTACATATGGCCTTGAGCAAGGTCCTTTCACTTACTGGGAAGTGTCCTCCAATTCCCCCCCCCACCCCAAAGGTCATGGGCTCCTTTCCAAGCAAGCCTCTAGTTGTGCCCAAGGTGGCACCTGAGGCATCCTGCTTCAGCCCAGCTGTGAGGGGGAGGGCTGCCCAGGAGTGTTGCCAGGGCAACCAGATGTTATCAAATGCTGAGAGCCCTTGAATCCCATTGGAGAGTGCCCAGCTGTGGCCCTGACCACCAACTGTTAGCCTGGAACCTTGAAGAGCGATATTTCGCCACCGTGTTGAAGCAGGAGCTAGGTTGAGGTTTCTCTGCTGCTGGTGGGGTGGGGGTGGGTAGGTGGAGTGGGGGAAGCTGAGGGTGAGTGTCCTGAAAAAAGCCACCTGAGTCCAGCCCAACAGTGACTAGGCGGCTTCTTCTGACTCTGCCTTGAAGGGTACCTGCAAGGTCCTGCTTTGTCCGCCAGCACTTGGCCTGATGACAATGGACTCACCCTGGAAGTGAGCCTGCTGCTTCTCGTCTGTTTGGGAGGACCTGATAAGAGGGGTGGATTGGGGTCAAGGGACCTCCAATTTGAAGAGATGCAGGGACCCATCTGTTCTTAGAAGAGAGAGGGGGTTTGTGTCGGGCATGGTGGACAGGGCATGGCTTTCGGACTCCGGATGTCCTGAGTGTGAGTGCTGCCCCACCACTTCCAGCTCTGTAATGCTTGCCCTCTCTGGCCTCCATCACATCTGGCATGTGAGGACAAAACTGCCTCCTCCTTAGGATGGCTGTTTCGATGTTGGTGTGCTTGTGTACATACACTCCCCACACCTTTGTGCTTGGCCATGTATGGTCTCGGCGCTGGAAAGGGGTCCGGTGGCGTGGAGCCACTGTGAATCCTTCCATCCCTGGGGGCGAAGGGAGGAAGAAGGGTGCTGGGTGGGAGGGGTGGCCTCTGTTGAGTTTGGGGTGCAGCACTTTCTAATTTACTGACCATCAGTTACAGCCTTAGCTACTCTCTTCAGAGTTGTCTACCAGAGGGAGCCCGCTAGTGAGTCACTACCTTCTTTAAAGGCTGAGTGAATGACTTCCTGGGACGCGAAATCCAGACTCTTAACAAGGCCTGTTAACAGGGGCCCTACCTGACCTGGGCCCAGTCCTCCTCTCTTCGGCTCCCCACACTGCAGTCAGGTCTGCCAGCCTCTGTCCCAGGAAACCCACCAGGACTGCGTGGAGGGGCTCCCCCCCGCACCTCAGTTCTAAGTTCATTGGCCTTACCTAAAGTTAGGCACCTCAATCCCTGCCCCAGCTCCTTGCTTTTCTGCAGTCACTCTCAGAAACCATTCGTGGGTCTCATCTGTGTGTTCCTCAAATGTCTATTCAATCCACAGCACGACTTAGTTGTGAACAAGGCAGGTGTCCCTCAGTACCTGCAGACCGAGTGGTTACAACAGGCTTATGAAGCTGTCGGCGTTTTCACCAAAGTCATGCTTGGTGTGTGCTGGACCTGACTCCCCTCCCCTGCCCTCTGCCCGCACTCGGAGCTGTGTCCTGGTTAATTCTGTTCTTTCTGATGGGTGATCCAGCTCAGACTCACTGGGGCCCGTGGAGAAAACTGGAGAAAACGCCAGGGGGCTAGAAGGAGCCCTGGTGGTGGCCTGGTTATGTGTTGGGCTGAGAACCGCACGGTCCGCTCTATGGGAGAAAGACTGGGCTTTCTACTCCCTTAAACAACCAGTCTCGGAAACCCACAGGGGTTCTTTGAGTTAGCATAGACTCCATGGCAGGGAGGTTTTTTTTGAGGGAACTAGAAGGTTGGCCTTGAAGATCTCAGGAAGCTTCTCTGGGGCTCTGGTGGCACATTGCCAAAGTGGGAAGAAAGTCCTTGGAAAGTGTAGGCTGAACATAAACACCAGGGTTTGTTCTGTGCAGACCCCAGGCCTCTGGGGACCTCCGCTTCTGGCACTGCCAACCTCGGAATACACGCCAGCCGGGAGGGCCTGGTGGGGACCGTCATGCCAATCCTGGCCTGGTGGCACCTCCATCCACCATCTGGCAGCGGGACCTCCTCCTTAGTGGGCACTAAGAATGGAAGATCTAGCCTGCCCTGGTAGCCTGGCTCGCTCCAGGGCCCGGCTTGCGCAGACAGCGAACCTCAGTTTCCCCCACTCCTGTGAGGGGCGGGGTCAGAGGGTGGGCGGGATCAGTGGCGGCGAAGGTGGGAGGACCTGGGAGCAACCCCGCCCCCTTCTGTCTGTGGTCCTTGCTGTGCAGCGGGCCGGGCGGCTGGCAGCCCCTCTTGCTGGGTAGCGGAGGAGGCGCCGCCCTGGGAGGCTGGTTAGCTAGGGGACGTCCCCCTGGCGCCGCAGTCATGGTAGTGTTCCTGGGCCGCCACCTCCCGGCGCTTCTCGGGCTCTTTAAGAAGAAGGGTAAGTGGGTGTGGCTGGAGGGGGTGACGTGGAGGTCCCGGGCACCCGTCCTTAGCAGACCCGTTTGTAGACCTTTACCGGGAAAGGTGAATGCGGTGGGGGTGGGGTTAACTAGACTCCTCTCCGCGGCTGCCTCGCCTTTGTCCAGCGGCTTTGCAGGCCGCCTTTGTCTGGGACCTGCGTGTGTTTGGGAGGATGGGTTCTGGAGGCCCTGGCCTTGAAGCCTGAAGTCCCAGGGTAACCCACACTTGACTGGGCACCACTCATTAGCTAAGAGCAGAGAGCCCAGTGCACCCCAAGGTGCGAGAGGATGGCTGTGGGGAGCAGTACAAAGTTAGGGAGCACTGCCATATGGGGGGGGGGCGGGAAGCATGTGGGGCCCCATGGTGAAGTTCTGGAGAGAGGGGCCACTGTCCACCTCCCCCTTCTGGGAACCGGGCTTCTCAGGCCAGGGCCAAGGATATGTCGGGACTCGAGGAGGCAGAGGGGTCCCCAGCCTGAGCCTGAGCTGGGTGGCGCCCTTGGAAGCCTGGAGTGGAGACCTGCTGGGTGGGCAAGGCCTTTCCCCATTTGGAATCAGTCCCTACTTGTAGCATCAGGAGACTGGGCTTGAAGACTAGGGGTGGGGATGCTCCGACCTTGTCCGATTGCTGCAGATTTACCCCCAGGGCAGCTGCTCCGGCGCTTCCTCAGCCAAGTATCTTGAGCTGAAGACCCTGTGCCTGGGGTGGGGCCATTTAAAGGGCTAGTTAGGGTCTGGTCCCTCAAGGTGCTGCCAAGGCCACGTGACTGCAGCTTTTGCTTATGTTGTGGGTTCCATTTAAAGAGGTTGTTGGACTGCTAACTGCTGACTCAAGCCCCCGCCCCCCACCAGGATTAGATGACCTGTTCCCCCCTATGGGCGGGGCCTGTAACTAGATCCTTTGTAATGGATCCTTGGCTCCTATGCACCAGGGGCCTGGCTGGGGCCAGGGCCTTCTGGAATGGGGGATACCTGACATTGCACCCCCAAAAGGCTGAGGCTGCCTTGGCTGGGGTGGGGGGCTGGGTCCTTGGCCCCCTCTTGCCCTGCCCATCCTCCCACTAAGGGCAGCCACATGGGTGAGTAGGGCACCCACCAGGCCCCATCGTGGTCTATCCCTGCTCCTTAGGATTTTCTGGGACTCTGCTGATTACCCCTTTTAGCTTATGCCCCACCCCCCTTTTCAATTCTTCCATGGCATCTTCCTAGACTTGGGCCAGGGATTATGTGGAAAAGGTGGTTTCTTATAAATTGGGCGTGGGGTCTGGAAAGGTCACTGTGCTTGCTGTGAGCCATGTGCTTAGGGGTTGTTGCATGGGGCCTGAGTGGGGTGTGGTTATGTGGCTGTCTGCACACTGTTTGTGTGGGTGCCGAATGGGCACGGCAGGCATTAGTTATGTGGTAGAGTGCCCAGATGTGTTATGCTTGGTTGCTGCTACTGCTGTTTGCATACAGAGAGGCCTGTGGGTGCGGCCCAGTTATAGGATGCCCTCGGGTAGTGTTCTGCTGGGGGCCCCTCAGGATGGGGATTCTCATGATGGGTACCCGTGTATTTGGGCATAGTTTCTGTATGCACATAGCACATGAGGGCTATGTGTGCTGAGCGTACGCCCCAGAACTGTGGGTTGTGTGTCCGGGCATGGGCTGGGTTGCATGTGGGTGAGTGCAAGCACTGTGTGTGGTCTGTGGTCCCTGGGAACTCCTTTGGGGCCTGTGCCTTTTGGCCTTACTTCCCTACTTCTTCCGTCCCACTAGGCTCTGCCAAAGCTGAGAATGACAAACGTCTGAGCACAGGGCCTGGCCAGGGGCCAGGGGCAGGCGTGGATGAGCAGTCGGACAATGTCTTCTTCCCGCGTGGGCGGCCGCCTCACTTGGAGGAGCTGCACACACAGGCCCAGGAGGGGCTGCGCTCACTACAGCACCAAGGTAACCTCCTCCCAGCCGCCTGGCGTCCACGAGCGAGTCTTGTCCTCTCAGCTCTCCGGCTGGCGCTTTTAACTCGGTGTACTCTTTTTGTGTTTTACAGAAAAACAGAAACTGAGCAAGGGGGGTTGGGACCATGGAGACACCCAGAGCATCCAGGTGCGTGCTCATGCCCCCAGCCCAGTCTGACTCAGCCCTTCCCTCCATGCCTGACCTCTGACCACCCTCTGGGGCTGGTTCCCCCAGGTAGCCTGAAGGCTAGTCCACTGCAGCACTAGGTGAGGGGCGGGTGGGTGAGTGCAAAGCCCAGGGTCAGCTTCCCTCAGGCCTCTTCTTCCCTCCACAGTCCTCGCGGACGGGGCCGGATGAAGACAGCATCTCCTTCTGCAGCCAGGCCACGTCCTACACGGGAGAGACCTCCACCGCCGAGGACGCGCTCTCCATCCGCTCCGAGATGATCCAGCGCAGAGGTGCGGGGCCTGCCCAGCAGGGGGTTCCCAAAGCTGTGTGACTCAGTGAACTCCGGACGCCCCCCAGGACCCTGTGTCCTCTGGGAGCTTTGTGACGCGTGTGGGCTCTGAGGTGGGGAACCTGCGTTCTCTGAGTGTTGAGAGTGACTGGCTGTGTGACCTCTCTGAGCTGCAGTCCGCCGGTCTGTGCAGTGAGGACAAGGAACTCATGGGCAAGGGTTTCAGCATGCTGACCGACAACAGCAGAAACCACACCTGTGGCCACAGCACAGAGCCACGCTTTTCCACAGGGCTTCCCAGTCTATGTAACTCTGGGAAGAGATTGCCACACCTTCCTCTCGCAGAGCAGCTGGTGGGTTTGACAGGCTGAGTGCTTAACCACGGTGTCACCAGGCTCGTGGGCACCATGGTGAGCACTCACTGAATGGAAATGATCATTATCGACCTGGCCCAGGCTATGTTCAGTCTAGCCTCCTTGACTCTAAGAATTTATTTCTGCAAGATTATTAGTACTCGCGGCCTGTACAACGTGCCCAGAGACCGAACAGCTTCTCTAATGCCTTCTCCCCGCCTTCCCCCTCCAGGCTCTACCTTCAGACCCCATGACTCTTTCCCCAAAAAGTCGGGGCGACGGCGGCGCACGCGGCGGAGCACGGTGCTGGGGCTGCCGCAGCACGTGCAGAAGGAACTGGGTGAGTGAGCCTGGGCCGGGGACAGGGGTGAGTGGAAGCCCTGACCAGCCCCCTGTACTGACTCCTGCCTCCTGTGCGTCCTAGGCCTGCGGAATGAGCGAGAGGCCCCAGGTACCCCCCGGCCTCCTGGCCCCCGGGATGCTGTGCGTATCCCCACAGTGGACGGCCACTCGGCAGGCTTGGCCTCCGGGCCAGGGGTCCGGGTGTCCCTGCAGGCACTGGAGGTGGAGGCTGAAGCGGGGGCTGAGGCCCAGGCGGAGGCCATGCTGCAGCGCCACATTGACTCTGTCTATCGGGATGACACCCTCGTTGGCCGGTCCACAGGGGCCCGGCCCCCTCCACTGACCCGGCCCATGTCCCTGGCGGTGCCTGGGCTGACCGGAGGGGTGGGGCCTCCAGAGCCCTTAAGCCCAGCCATGTCCATCTCGCCCCAGGCCACTTACCTCTCCAAACTGATCCCACACGCGGTGCTGCCCCCCACGGTGGACGTGGTGGCCCTGGGCCGCTGCAGTCTGCGCACACTGAGCCGCTGTAGCCTGCTCTCTGCCAGCCCAGCCTCCGTGCGCTCTGTGAGCCGCTTCTCGTCGGCCTCGAGCCCCCGGCCCCACAGCCGCCATCCTTCCTCCTCCAGCGACACCTGGAGCCACTCGCAGTCCTCAGACACCATCGTGTCTGACGGCTCTACGCTCTCTTCCAAGGGTGGCTCTGAGGGCCGGCCTGAGAGCTCCGTGGCCAGCACCGGAGTGGCACCCCTTCCCCAGGGGGGCAGCGGGAGGGGCTCTCCCAGTGGGGGCAGCACTGCGGAGGCCTCAGACACAACCAGCATTCGGAGTGGCGGGCAGCTGTCCAGCCGGAGCGTATCCCTGCGGAAGCTGAAGCGGCCCCCGCCACCCCCCTGCCGGACCTACTCGCTCCACCAGCGGGGCTCAGCGCCCCCTGAAGGGCCTTTGGGGCTACCACCCAGGCCCGATCGGAAGCAGCAGTCACAGCAGCCTCGGCCACCCACCACGGGGGGACCCGAAGGAGTGGGGGCAACACCCTGTTCGTCCAGCTCAACAGGTAGCTGGGTGCCTGGCTTGTCTCCAAGTGGCTCCCGGCGACCCCCGCGCTCCCCGGAACGGACACTCTCCCCCTCCAGCGGATATTCCAGCCAAAGCGGCACCCCTACCCTCCCTCCCAAGGGCCTGACAGGTGCCCCTGCATCCCCAGGCAAGGCCCAGCCCCCTAAGCCCGAGCGGGTCACCTCGCTGCGATCTCCCGGGGTTTCCGTCTCCTCTTCCCTCACTTCCCTGTGCTCCTCTTCCTCCGACCCGGCCCCCTCAGAGCGCTGTGGTTTGCAGATGTCAACCACTCTGGGTGACAGGTTCGCCATACCTCCACACCCCAAGGTGCCCGCCCCCTTCTCGCCACCCCCCTTGAAGCCCAAGAACCCTAACCAGGCTGTCCCTGCTCCGGCTGCCCCTGCTCTGGCTTCTGGGCCCGTCTCTACACCTGATGCCACCCCTGAGGCCCCTCCTGCCTCTCAGACATCCCTGACCCCACCCCAGGAGTCTCCTGTCGTCTCCAAAGACCAGTCACCCCCACCATCCCCACCTCCACCTTACCATCCGCCTCCACCACCCACCAAGAAGCCTGAGGTAGTTGAGGATCCGCCTGCCGCAGCAACTGCTGAGGAGCCCCTCCAGGACCCCAGCTGGCCCCCACCCCCACCGCCTGCGTCCGACGAGCAGGACCTGTCCATGGCCGACTTCCCCCCACCCGAGGAGGCCTTTTTCTCTCTGGCTGGCCCCTCGGACCCCCCAGAGCCTGCCTGCTCCCTAGTCACCTTGCCCCCTGCAGCCACTATCTCTTCCCAGAACCAGCCTCACGGTGCCCCAGAGCCCCCGGCCCCCCCTCCTCTGACTTCCACCTCAGTTCTGGCCAAGCCCCCCCAGAAGGAACTGGCGGGTGGCAGCAAGAGCAGTGGGGCTGCCAGGGAGGACTCAGGCACACCCCTGGTCACTCCCTCGCTCCTGCAGATGGTGCGGCTGCGCTCTGTGGGCGCGCCCACATCTGGTCCAGCCCCAGTACCGGGGCCAGCAGCGCCCCAGAAACCACTACGGCGGGCCCTGTCAGGGCGGGCCAGCCCAGTACCTGGCCCCTCCTCGGGGCTGCATGCAGCCGTCCGACTCAAGGCCTCCAGTCTGGCTGCCAGCGAGGCACTTGCAGGTGCCCAGGCCAACGGGCCAGCTGAGGTTGTGCCGCGGTCACCCCAGTCTCCTGCCCCTGTGGCCAGCTTCATATTCTCCAAGGGCACCAAGAAGCTGCTGCGGGAGCGGCCGGGCTCACCCGAGGCCCCTGTGGACCTCCAGCGGAATCTGGTTGCCGAACTTCGGAGCATTTCTGAGCAGCGGCCTTCCCAGGCCCCAAAGAAGCCCCTAAAGGCCCCCCCACCTGTGGCCCGCAAGCCCTCTGTGGGAGTGCTCCCGCCCTCCTCCCCTAATTTTCCTCGGGCTGAGCTCCTTCCTGCGCCTCCCACCAACGGGCTCCTTCACGCTGAGACCAGGACTAAGGGGGAGCCGGCTGAGAATGGAGGCACTGAGCTGCTGGTGAGCCCAGAGCATCGGCAGCAGGGCCTGCCTGGCCCAGGTACAGTAGTGGGGAGTGGCGTCCTGAGGATGGGAAGCACCCGAAGCCATTTAGGGCTCTTTGGAGTGTTTGGGAAGGGTGAACTGTCACCGGCATGTCCCACAGTGGAGGGAGGGGCTTGGCATGTGGGCACTTCAGAGCCTCAACTGCAGCTTTGCCACCTGATCTGCCTGTCCCAGCCCCAGGCTCCTTGTGGGAAGGGGTGGGGCCACACCTAGAATGGGGTTGAGTTAAGTTTAAGGGACAGGAAGAGGCTGGGGTCCCTAAGTGTCCCTGCCTTTTCCCCACAGACCCACCCAAAGAGCTGGTCTGACTGCCTCACTGGCCCTGCTGGCTGGCACACCCCAGGAAAAGAATCTCAGGGACCTGAGCAGCTCCAAGGACGAGCGGAGCGGGTGGAACCTAACCGCGAGGAAGCCTGCAGCCTTAACCTCACGGCCTTCAATATTTATGCAAGCCTGGTGTGGGTCCCTGGCCCCCAAGTCATCCATCGGCCCTCATGCCTTTTCCCAGATGGACTCACCTCTGGCGGTAGCCACTGCAGCCCGGGCCTTACTCATCTAGAGAGGGGGTAGCTGCGCCCCCTGCTGGTCTCGAGGCCACACAATTGGGACCAGAGCACCTTGCTTGTTTTTTGGTGGTCTTTTTACCTTATCTGACTGAGCTCAGAATCATGCACATTATAGTCCAGAATCCACGCCCTTTGGGACAGTGGCTGCATGTCCGTCTCCGCCTGGCCCCGAGTCTGTTCATGTGGCAGCAGCCTCCCTCCCTGCAGCCTGGAGCTGGGACCCACCTGTCCCTGTGCCCTCACCCAGTGTGTGCATCCCTTAGTTCTTGGAGATGGGCAGTATTCCCACAGGCTTCTCCAGGCTGGGGGCAGGGGCAGGTCGGTGGTGGTCCAAAGCACAATGGGTACAGGGGAGCTTAACCTTCCCTTACCTCAACTTGCCACCACCCACCCTCCTGCCTTCCAGTTCTGCCCCGGTGCGCCATGGAGGACTGCCAGGGCCCGAGGGCGTGGAGGGTGGCCGGTGCTCAAGGCATCTGCTCGGCCTTTCACTCCATCAGGATGAGGGTGGGGCGGGTGAGCACAGCACACACTGGCAGGGCCTCCTCTTCCAGCTCAGCAGGGAGTCTGAGGCAGTGGCTAGAGAGCTAATTTGGGGAGCAGGCCAGGCCTGGCCCTGCGGCCTTCACGCTCCCATCTCTCTTCACTCTTGGTGCGTGTCCTTCCTGCAGTTGCCTCTGCACAGCCACTTCCACTGGGGATGCGCGCTGGCGTAAGGGGCAGGGAGGGGAGTCAGAGGTGGGTTTTATTCCAGACACTTCCCTGCCCACTGGAGAGGGCATGCGTGCTCTCGGAGAGTATGCTGGGCGGCTGCCCCTGGGTGTTAGCCTCTGCTGCCGATTCCTCCTCCAGCAGCTGTGCCTATTTTCCTGTTTCCTGCATGGGTCACCCCTAGGTAAGCCAGTGGGCTCTCTGAGGCTCGAGCAGTGGCCCTGATGCCTTGCTCACAGCAGCTGGGTGCCACCCAGGGCCACTCTCCTCAGCAGTGACTCCCCTCTGGAGAGATGGAGTCCCACCCCTGATGGGAGCTACAAGCAGGGCATCCTGGGAGAGCTATTTCCAGCCTCCTCAGCATCACTACTGTCTTCTCTCCATAGCTAGGAACCAATGTTCTGGCCCTGTCTTGCCTTCTGGGCCATGGAGAACTGTGCAGGGACACACTGCACATGCCCAGTAAGCTGAGGCAAGCAGACCATCAGTAAGCACTTCTGTGCGCAGAGCTCCAATCGGCCCCCAGGAGCCAGGCCCTGGCCACAGCCTTGGAGCTGCTGGAGGTGGGGGCCTTTGAACTGGTTCAACCCCTTGGTGAAAAGTTGCCTTTCTACCTGGGATCTACTGACTCAGAATCTACATTGTAGCAGGACTCTATCTAAGCAGCGCTGAGTATCTTGTTGAAACAGTCGAGATTCACCTTCAGTGTATGGGGTGATGGTGGTGGGGGACGGGCAGCCAGCCTGGTCTGCACCTATTGGGGGGAGTCGTGATCCCTCCCTCTCCCTACCCAATGTTACTTGAGCTCCTTTGTCCTCAGTCAGGATGTTCCAAGCTTCTTTCCTCTCTGAGGCACAGAGAACAGGAGGGAGGACCTGGAGAGAATTCTGCCCCCTGGGGTAAATGAGCCTGTCCTTGCGCAAAGGAGAGACCAAAAGCCTCTGATTTTCAATTTCTATAAAAATGTTAGAGAGAAATATATATATATATTTCTTTAAATTTTGGAGTCTTTGATATGTCTATCCAAACAATCTATCCCGTTTGCCCCAGAGCCCGAGTGAGACACGTGACAACACACCGTTATGTGTTTCATTGAAAGGTGGTAATTAATTAAAGAATTCAGACTTGGCTTGTGGCTGCTGTTTATTGAGGGTGGGTGGGTAGGCGGACCGGCCAGGGCTGTGGTGAGGGTGGGCCCACACTTCCCAGGGAGTTTCCTGTCGGAGGACCCAGAAGTGGGACCGCGGGAAAGCCAGGGTGTTCCCCGCTCAACTCCAAAGTCGGTCCGCAATCCTCAAAGATAAGCACCAGGGGCTGGGGAGGTTCCTGCAGCTACTTCCCCGTTCAGGTCTCTGTCCTCCCCGTCCATCCAGCTCCAGCCAGACACCTCTGTTCAGACATTTTATTTGAACTCATGGTGGCAATGGCTAATTTTGTGAGAGAAGCCAGCCATGTGGAGCAGCATTCCAACCGCCCCACCCAACGCTAACAGTACACAGCTGGTTCCCGACCTATAAACTCCAGGGGAATTCCAGGAACCTTGAGGCGGGCCCTGCCCGCCGAGTGCCAGGCCTCACGGGAAAGGTGCCAAGCACTTGGTAGACCACGAGGTGCCCTGCTTTCCCTTCTCTTTACTTTACAAATCCCACAGTTTCCTGTTGGGGAGAAGCTGTGGGCCCAGTCCAAGCTCCAGATCCCAGCCAAGGCACAGCTGCCAGAATCATGCCGGGGAAACCTGGGAATCAAGGTTTTTCCAATTAGAGAGGGTTGTGGCATTCGCCTTCTCTCCGAGTTAGTTACATGGAAACCAGATTTCTCAAAAGTCTGCTGCCCAGGGAAGATGGTAGAGCTGTCCTGCCCTGCTGCTGCTCCCTGGAAGTCAGCCAGGTGGATGGTCCTCGGATCTGTGGAGGGTAAGCTGCCCACCTAAGAAGACCCAAACCTGCTGCATCCTGTCCAGGGACGGGTGATGGGCGGAGGCAACGGAGGAGCCAGCAGATGACTTGGGATGATGGGGTGGGGGGGGGGGCCACCGCCCGGCTGGCTAGCTAATGTTGCCCCCTTTGAGTGATTGACAGGAGACGTTCCCCAGCTTGGTCATGAAGTTGGTTTGCTTCCACTGTGCAATGCAATCCTCCGAAATCTTAAAGTCAGCCTGGGCAAGAGACAGACAGACAGACAAAGTCAGTATACAGGTGGTGGTGGTGGTGGGACTGAAGATAGCAGGGCGTCCCTTTCCCCAGGGCAGTTTGCCAAAAGCCAGCATGCTGAGACCTTACAACCCCGGACACCTATTTTAGGGATTCCCCCGAAGATCATCGTGGGCGAGTGCCAAGGCCTGTGTCCCAGGGCCTCCGAGCGGAGACAGTCGGACCGACTCCACAGTGCCTACCGAGGTTTGACTTCAGCGACCTGACACACTCACTGCGGGCACTCCCTTCTCCATATTTCAGAAGGTGGGGAACTCGGCCTAAAGTCTGACAACGTGGGCTAACCATGGTAGAGCCCAGACTAAAGAATGCTGCCTTTGGGCACAGTACAGCCCAGAAAGACAGACTCACTGCTGACTGGTACCGCTAGATGGCAGGACTATGGCTATTTGACTCCTTCAGCTTTTAAAAAAAAGGAGCCCTTTTTTTAAAAAGCTTTTTTAAAAAAAAGCAGCCCAGCAGGGTGGCTGCTGACCGACAGGTCTGCAATTTAAACCCAGCAGCCGCTCCACCGGAGGGAGCTGTGCTGTCTGCCCCAGTGAAGATGTGACAGCCGTGGAAACTCTGCCCTGGAGGGTTGCTATGAGTCAGAATTCACTCAATGACAGGTTGCTGGTTTTGGGGGTACAGAATGAAAATTATGGCTGGTAAAAATGAGCTTGGAAAAAGCAGGAAGGAGGGAGTAGGCAGTGCTATTTGCTGTTGCAAGAGGGATATAGAGAGGAAGACGCCCTGGGCGCCCCGAGTGTTCTACTGAAGTCACAGGTAGTGTCAACTCCACAAGGAGGGATTTCTTGCTACTTAAACCACTGAGCAATAGTGTCTGATGGAGGTATTAAGCCTGTTGCTGTCTTGTCGATTCTAACTTAGAAACCCTCCCCCAAACGATTGGGTGGCTTGATAAGTTGTTAAATACAAAACTGATGATCTGAAATATACACTCCTATTTAATTCACAATGAAAAGTAAAAAACAAAAAGATAACCCCCAAAGCAGAACTCCATAGGTTTTTCTCAGCAAGTCACTAGGTCTCTTTCCCACAGAGACGGCCCCACACCCCACTCGACATTGGTTAACTGAGGAATTCCATGGATGGGCCACGTGAGCCCGTGCTTCGAGGGCAGAGGGAACGAGAGCTTTAAGGGGCAGGGAGGGAGGAAGGGTCCTGGTAGGGAGGTGATCCAGGCTCGCTCTCACTTCTGAGACCTGCTGGGGCTGGGGCAGGTACCCCGCTAAGTAAAAGGGGCATAACCTCAAATCGCCTGTCAGTGCTTATCAGTACACACACGGTCCTTCTAAGAGCACCGCCGTGAGCTCTAGTCCCATCTGTCTGGAGTGAAGAGGGGAAGGGGCTCAGGTGCAGGACCTCCGGCCGGGCCCCAATCACAAGGGCAGCCGTGCCTCCCCAGACAACTCGGGGATGAGGGGCAGCAACGACGACGACTTACCTGCAACTTCTCAAAGACTTTCTTCTTGGGCTTGAGCTCATCGTCTGGCTGGCCCTTCTCATAGCCCCTCACAAACACTCGCTCTCCAGGGGCCGAGCCTGCCGGAGGGTCCAGGGGCTCAACCTGGCGGCTTACCCCTTCTCTGGAAAGACACGGAGAGGTGAGGCCCCGGGCTGGGTCTTTACACTGGGCTTCTGAAGGACTTGGAGCATCCATGGAACCGGGACCCCCGCAGCTCATCACTGCCTTACATCTCTGGATATCCAGTCCTGACAGGGGAGATGCAGGAGAAAGTGGGGCCTAACAGAGAGAAGAACTTTACAGCCAAGCAGAACTGGGCTCGAATCCTGGCGCCAGCTGCCCACTCAGCAACATACACACTGCTGGAGACCTCAACTGGTTTTAATACATTAGCTTTGGGCAAAGGGCTTCACTCAGTGTAGCCTATGTATTAGCTTTGTTAAGGACTTCACTCAGTGTAGCCTATGTATTAGCTTTGTTAAGGAAGAGGAGTGTTCTCAGGGTTTCTCCTTGGCAGGGTGGAAGGGGCCCAGTCCCATTTTTGTTGCACCCCCCTCAGCCTCCCCCACGGCCTCACTCACGTGGAAGCGCACAGGAGCATGCCTTGGGACTCGACGCCGCGCATCTTCTGAGGCTTCAGATTGCACAGCACCACCACCAGCCGGTCCTGTAGTTCTTCCTTGGGCACAAACTGCACTAGGCCGCTCACCACTGTCCTCGGTTCAGCTTCCCCCACGTCAACCTTCTCCACGTACAGGCTGTCTGCATCGGGGTGCTGCCAGCAAAAGGCATCAGGGCCAGAGGGTGTCAATGGAGCAGAGCATGGGGGCTGGCCAGCCCTGGACTCCAGAAGGGAACATTCTTCACATGGGCCGAGGGACCGTCTGAGAGCAAACTCCCTTTTCCGGGTCCCAGAGAGCAGAATGAGTAACGGGAGCTTGATTGCTGTGTATGGAGGGGAGCTCTAGCAGAGCTTCAAGACCCTGGTGGCTGCCACTCTGCCTACAGGCCACACCAGGGAGTCCTGGGTGGCCTCACCATCTGAAGCTGGAGCAGCGGCAATTGCAAAGCAGCTCTGGTCGTTGGGTCTGTATCAAACTCAAGCTCGCCGCCACTGAGCCAATTCTGACCCCGGGGACTGTACAGGGCAGGGCTGAACTGCTCCTGTAGGGTTCTGAGACCAACTCTTCACGGGCAGGGAAAGCCTGCCTCATTTTTTCCCATGGGTCTACATAGTGAAAACGCAATCCATGATGGGGGGAAAAAAAACAGCATCTTGGGTCTCAGCCACTGGTTGCTCCTTGGGTGTGTGTGTGTGTGTTTAGGGTAGGGATGGGGACAGACAAAGCGGCTGATTGAAGAGCAGGCCTGCAGCGAGTCGAGACCTGCTGGCAGTAGGTCCACCAGACTGGATCTACTGGATAAACAAGGGCCTTCTGACTAATATCCGGGCTGTGTTTGCTTGCAGAAGGTCCAAGGGCAGCGAGGAGCTGAGGCCTGGAATCCGACCCCTGGGTTATGACTTTCAGTATGACCTCAGGGACGCTATTTCTTTCTCCAGACCAGGTTTCCTCCAGATGGAAACACACCTGAGCCCTCATGGCCTCCCCAGGATGTACCTTCTCCACACTGACGATTTTCCCCACACGGATATCCAGGCGAGACGGGATGACCTCTTCTGGCTCTGAATTCTTGGCAGCAGGACCTTTGGCAAGTGGCTCTGGGAATGAGAAGAACCCCAAGAGGTCAGAATTCTCCTTCCCCATGCAGGCTGCTCATGCCAATAAATGAGGCCAGATTTGGCACCACATGCACAGTACCCAGCCAAGCGATCCTTGTTTACAGCAGTGCCTCTCAACCTTCCTAATGGCTCGACCCTTTCATACAGCTCCTCATGTTGTGGTGACCCCCAAACCATAAAATTTTTTACAGCAGTGCCTCTCAACCTTCCTAATGCCGCGACCCTTTCATACAGTTCCTCATGTTGTGGTGACCCCCAAACCATAAAATTTTTTTCATTGCTACTTCAAAACTAATTTTGCTACTGTTGTGAATCGGGCGACTCCTGTGGAAGGGTCGTTCCACCCCCAAAGGGGTGACCCACAGGTTGAGAACTGCTGCTTTATAGACCTTTCAGGGAAGAACAGGTCGGACTTTCATCTATTCTCTCTCCTAGGTGTTGGGCAGGGGCGGGGAAAGTAGGGCAATGGTAACTTAGCGGCCTTTCTACATTTCCATTCACACGGAAACACATTACTCCCTGAGTTCCCTGGGAGGGTCACCCAAAGCTCTCAATGTCAGTGTTTCAGCACCAGGGCTATGTGAGCCAACTGAGCCACTCAAAGCCCATGGAAGGGGCGGGGAGAGTCTGATGACAAGCTTCCCTGAGAAGCTGCCTCCACAGTTGTATGACAGACTCTCAACCTCTTGGCCTACCTCCACTGGTCTCACTGGGGAGCCAGACTTCAGGAACACAGGCTAAAATATCAAAGTCTATGCCTCCCCCTTCATAACTGAAACAGAGCCCACCCCAGGGACCAGTTCTCAGCCAAATGATAGCCAGGCCTATAATGTGCATAATATAAGACTAAAAGGGCAGCATGTACCCAATAACAAAGCCCAGACAGCAGGATGGTATAAGACAGGAGAAGGAATGGAGAACTAACTTACATGGTAAACTTCCAATAAACACTATAATAATAATAAAAACCAAGTCCTTGAATCATGCCAACATCTCTCCACAGTGCTGGGATAACAGGATGTAATCATTCCACAGCACTGACCAAGCCCAAATCAAGATGACCCAGGGCTCAAATTCCACATCATAAATCCATGAGGTCTGACATTCTGTGAGGTAAGGCATTTCTGCACTCCAGACGCCCTGGACATGGGACCCCCAATTTAACACAGGGGCTCAGTACAGGCTCTCTATCCTCTGTTGGCCTTACTCTGCTTCGAGGGATCTGGGTAGGCAGCATTGGCGAGTTTCTTCAGAGCAGGGGTATTAAACTTTTCCCGGATGGGATCCAGCAACTTGTTCAGGGCGACTTCAACGGAATTCTTTAGGTCTCCTGGGTGGACAACCTGCAGAAGTATATAAGGCTGGTGAGCTGAGGAACTTGAGCAGGACCCAGCACAGCTGGGCCTATTAAAGAAGATGCTCTTACGGAATGTACACTACTCATTTTCCCAGCAGTCTTATAGAGCCCCACAGTGAGGTAGATCCAGAAGTTAATTGACTTGTCAAAGAGCCAGCTATTTTGACCAGAATTTCACACTAAGTTGAGGGTTTCCGGAGGCTGACTAGGTCCTTGGGTGAAGTAAATGGTGGTTCGGTCCCATTCAGCAGTGCAGAGGAAGAAAGCCTTGCACTCTGAGATCCCAGCCAGACACCCCTTGGAGCAGTTCCACTATGTAGCACACAAAGGCGCCACTGAGTTGGAATGGACTTTTGTTTGTTCTAGAGCAGAGGTTCTCGATCTGTGGGTCGAGACCCCTTTGGGGGATCAAATGACCCTTTCACAGGGGTCACCCGATTTATAACAGTAGGAAAATGACAGGTAAGAAGTAGCAACGAAAATAATTTTATGGTTGGGGGATCAACACAACATGAATTGTATTAAAGGGTTGTGGCATTAGGAAGGTTGAAAACCAGTTCGAGAGGTTGAATATATTTATTAGTTTAATTCTTCTAGTCCTTCCATTTATGCTTAAAGCGATGGTACAAACTAAATATGATTTAGAAGCAGAGAAACATTCACACTGGTAACTGAAGATATAAAGCCAACCTAGGTGTACCCATACGAATAAGGGCATGAGTTAAGACTCACCTGTGTTAGCTAGCTGTGTGACCCTGAATTTGACCTCTTCACTTATCAAATGGGAATAGCACTATGTTTCAAATGGTGAAGAGGAGGATTAAGTCAGAGAATATGGGCAAAATTACTGACACTAGCACTCCCAAACCAAACTTACTGCCACTGACTTGATTCGGACTCATGTTGTCCCTAGAAGACAGGGTAGAACTAGCCTGTGGGTTTCAGACTGTAGCTCTTTACGGGAGTAGGAGCCTCAGATTTCTCCCCCAGAGCTGCTGGTGGGTTTGAACCATGGACCTTTTGGTTAGCAGCTCAGTGTGTAACCCATTGCCATCCGGTCCATTCCAACTCCTGGCGAGTCAGAGGAGAACTGCTCTGGAAGGTTTTCTTGGCTGTAATCTTTACTGAAGCAGACACATTACTGGGTGGGCTCACACCACCCAGCCTTAAGTTCGTCACTGAGCACAGACCATTGAACCATTTAGAAGTGCAGTAACTCAGTCGTTCTGGTTCTGCAACTATCACTTCGGACCCCAAGTCTGGCCTGCAAGGGTTTCCCAGATATCACCCAGGTACGAATAGCTGTCATGCAACCAGGCCTCCATTTTTGTTCCTGCTGCTCTTGCTTCATTTCCTTGGGAACTCTCGTTTTAACAACACACGTTAGCCCGTGCTGTTCATGACGGTAGCCACGCGTCTCCTGCAGACACTGACATATGAACGAGTGAACATCCAAGTCTTCAGCAGCAGGAGCCACACTGAGGGCTCAATAGCTGGAGAGAGACTGGTGGTCAGTGCTGACAGAATGTGCCCGTCATGACAGAAACTGCCACTGGATAGATAACCTTGACCCAGACCTTCCTTCAGACTCATCTCCATCCTTCTCCTTTCTCACCCCACGGACTGCTGTCGGGATGCGGAGTGGAGGGCAGGGTCTGTGCCCTGCCACCGATTGCAGACAGACTGGCATCAAAGGAATGGCTGTGAAACATCAAATCTTGAGCCTAAGGGTCCACACCCTTTGCTCAGTCTCTCTCTGCATCCGATGCTCAGATCCTCACCTAACACTGCCGCAGCCTGACCACCTCCGCTGTTGCGCAAGGAAAGGGCAAGCGAGGCAGCCCAGACCGTTGTCAAAAAACTGAGCTCACGAGCAAGTCCTTTGTGATGTTGAATCTAGACATGCCTCCCTGTGCTTCCCACCCACAGGGCTGGTTTGGCCCTTGGGAGCCACAAGAAGGAACTTAACCCTTCTTCCACGGGAGCCCTTCATATTTGGAAGATGTCTGAGCACACGTTCGCTTCCCAGGGAGCAGCCCCAGTCCCTTTGACTGTGTCTTTTTCTAACATGCTTTTGAGTGGTGCTGCTTTATCAGGCTTCTGAGACTGCCCCTTCTTGCGGCATCCCTCCTTCCATATACCCCAGGCTCTCCTACTAAGGGGGAAAAATTACACTCGCTGCCATCTAGACGATTCCAACTCAGAACCAGCCTATCAGGACGGAGTAGCTCCCGCCTGGGGTTCTCAGGCTATAAATCTTTCTGGAGCAGAACGCCCTGCTTTCTCCTGCAGAGCTGGTGGTCTGAACAGCCCGTTTCTCAGTCAGCCAAAGGAGCGGTTAACTGCAACGCCCCCAAGGGCTCCTTTGCAAGATGACAACAAAGCACCGGAGGGAGGGAGCGGTTCTGTTCAGCAGTCTCAGCAGCAATGGGTTCTATGATGTCCTGTAACAGCTGTGTCTTTTCATTGGATCCCGATTTATGGGCGCCTCCTCTTACTGCCTTTGGTTCTTCAGCCCAGCCCATCAAGTCCTCTGGAGAGTGAGTGGACACCAGGGTCATTTGACCCTTAGCCTGTGAACTACATCACTGAGAAACATTCGAAGCCCGGGCACATGACTGGGAGTGAGTTCCGAGGGGACTAGGCCTCCTCTGGCATTACCTCACCAGCAAAGTCCTTCTCCAGGTCCAAGTAAGCTGTGTAGGTCTTGTTTCCACCCCACTTCTCATCTCGAAGGATCACAAATTCTGCAAGAAAAGGAATCCATGCCGCTAAACCTCCTGGGAACTGCAGAGCCAGAATTCCTGATCCTACTGCATGAATGCATATTGGGGGCTTTGACCATCTATTAAGAATGTTTATGGTCGGGCACTTCATGGTTATGAATCAGATTTGTGGCCGTGTTGTATACCCAGCAGGCACCGATGCTCAAGGGGAGGAGTTGTGCCCTATTTCTTTTGTAGCCCTTGAGTTCAGTATAGAAGGGGCCCTGCAGGTTCAGCTAAGTGCTCGGCTGCTAACCAAAGAATTGGCTGTTCAAACCCAGCCAGCAGCTATGTGAGAGAATGACCTGGTGACACGGTTCCGTGAACGGGCAGTTGTGCTCTGCCACATGGGGTTACTTGTGTTGAGTCAAAGTCAACTTGATGGGACCTATAAGCAACGAGTTCAACATGCTTGTCCCCACCCTTGTTTCTATCTCCTTTGACCAGCGGGACATTGGGCTAGTCCAGTAACAAGCCCATGAAGAACTAAATGACAGTTCCGACCTCAACCCTCCATTCGTCTAAGAGGAATCAGAGCACAGAATCAGGGAAGCCAGGCTCTGGAGGCAGAGTGGGTGACAAACCCCATGCAGGGCTATGGCATTAGCTCTGCTCCAGCCTCGTCTATAAGAATGAAACAAGGGGCGTCTTACCAGATTTGAGGGGAAATAGGACATGCTTGATGAAGGACAGAACCCCATTGTTCTCCACATTCCCTGGCTCACAGAAGGCCTTTTTCAGCTTTTTCTTCACATCTTCCTTCCGATCAAGGAGATCAATCTTGGACTCCTAGAAGCCACCGAAGGGGGGAGAGACTTCTAATGAGGCTGTGCTCAATTACTGTGTGCACTTACAATTTTTTATTTTACTGGGCGCTCTTACAGCTCTTATCACAATCCATACATATATCCATTTTGTCAAATACTTCTTTACATATGTTGTCGTCATCTTTTTCAAAACATTTTCTTTCTACCTGAGCCCCTGGCATCAGCTCATTTTTCC